GACGGGCCCGGAAGCCTGAGCCTGGGAGTTGGAGTAGTGCAAAATGCCGGTGGCTGTAAGGACTGTTTTGGTAAACCGTGTGGATGCAACAATGTAATAATCCTTTGGGGATTGATCCAAGGTGACAAGGACTGTGACTGATTGGCCAACATGAATGTCGAGAGAATCGTAGATATTTTGGAGCACGTGGGACCCTTCGACCTCGACGAGCTTCATTGTGTGGTTTTGAATCATGAAACTGATAGATGTGGATAAACCGATATTCGTGACCCTGAACATGATTGTCTTCCCTGAAAAATCCAAGCAAGATTTTTCTTTTTTAACCACTGAAACTGATCATTCTATTTTAATTTTCATTTTTTCGCATTATCCGAATTATTTTGTAAAGAAAACAAAAATAGAAGCTCCTAAAGGCATGTTTAATATATATAATATATATATGACCTTGGTCACCAGTGAACGAAGGTTGGCCCTGGCCGTTTATAAGGAGTCCATCGGGGAAAGGCAGTGGCTTTCCAGAATCAAGTATTTGCTGCAATCGCTGACACAATAAACACAGAAAACATGTAAGGCTTAGTGTATATATATATATAAGGTCTATTTATCAGGTAATTAATGTTGAGCCACAAAATGTTAAATGGTGAAAAGAACTATAACCTTGTGACCAGCATTATGCCAATCACCCACAAGCAGGCTATGGTCTCTTGCAGGCTTAGCATACGGAACGGAAATCACTTTTCGAGCATACACGTTAAGTGCTCCAAAACCTCCGGCAGCTTTGTGCATAACAGTCGAGGGGAAATAGGAGTAGCTCCCGATTTGATCCTTAGTTTGGAACTTGTACGTGTAGTTCTTATTTGGAGGGATCGGGCAATTTGTACCCAAAACACCATCCTGCCAAGAGTTCTTTCGTTGTTTGATCCCATTCCTAAGTACAAGCAACACCAACAAATGGCCTATTTATTCTTAAACTGTTACAGATGGTCCCATAATAATTTATAAGTACCAAACCAATGGCCTACACTTTTGAACACACACATAAATGGTTAAACAAAAGAAAAGACAGAGAACATGAAAGAGAAATTTGGGTCCTCAAACTAAAAGCAACTGTTTTCGATTATTCAATGTCTGCAAACACACTATAATTGGAGAAAAAGACTTGTGATTGACAACTATGACTAACTAACTAACCCAATTTTTTGTTTTATATAGCAAGAAAGTCCAAGAACATAGACTATAACATGATCTGGATTCAGGGGACACAACCAACCACAACAAAAACAGTCATATAACGGGAAATGCTAAGGTCCCGTTATGGAACCATTCCTCCGGATTAATTCTGTAACCGTTAGATCATCACGTAACTGTCATAAATAGTTGATCTAACGGTTACAAACCCAACGGAATGGTTCCGTAAAAATGAAATTTTGTGGCCCTCACCATGTCAAAAGGAAAGGCTGGTCCAGTTTATTGATGACGTTTATGATTATGTTGTCATTTGTGACAGTATCAAGCCTGGGGCCTGGAAATTGTCCATTTATCAATATCACCTGCAAAATCCACACACAATAAATTCTCTTACAATTCACACACACACACACACACACACACACACGCACACACACACACAAATAGCTAATTAACCTGTTGAGAAACGCCAAGAGGCGCAGCTGTTCCATAGGTGACGACCCACGTGAAATACTTGTACTCATCCTCTGCCTTCACACTAACAACACCCCAAATTGCCAGAACAGCAAGCAAATATAGGGAAAATGGTCGGCCCATTTGGCTTACCGGTGAAGTTAACTCCCAAATCCTATGAATCTGCAAGAACCCACATCGGATTTTTCAAAATTTTGAGTTTTTTCTCAACAAAAAAGCAGAAAAAGACGTAATCTTGAACAGTGTAGCTTGTAGCTATCCACATTGTACGAATCATTTGGTACGAAGGTTTAACAAAACGACTCTACAATCGGATCCGATGTGGGATTTAGCCAAAGAAACAAACACAGGGCCCAAAAAATAAAAAAGGAGTAAGAATTAGTAACATACCAGGATTTGAGAAGCCAAACTAAACTATTCCTAAAGGGGAAAGAATAAGAAAGATTGTGGATCTTTGTGTGTGTGTGTGTGTAGTTTTTACTACTCAATTTGGGTTTGTTTGAGGTTGTAATGTATATATAATAATGTATATATAAATAAGAAGATAACTCTTGACAGGGTTTAAGATAAACAAAAAAGGAGAAGAAAGGAAAGGAAGAGCCTGGCAGGATACGCCTGGGGCCAATTTGCAACTTTCACATATTCTATCTATTTTTTTAAATGTTAGTATCTCGTTACGGAACCATTCCATCAATATTTGTAACCATTAAATTAATTATCTACGACGGTTACATCATGATCTAATGGTTACAAATCCACGGAATGGTTCCGTAATAGGATCGTAACATTTTCCCTAATTTTTTTTTATATACATTACATAGTCTAATTAATTAAGCTAATTATATTTTCTTTTTATTTAAACCTAATTCTATTCTTTTTATTATAACTAATAAATATGAGTTGTTTTGTTAATAATGAGTGAGTGCCTCAAGAAGCCAATAATCAGGAGAAATGTACTTAAATTTATTTACCAGGGAGATAAAACTTGTAAATTATGGATGTCTGGCTTAGAGCAGCATGGAATTGTTATTAGAGTGGTAAGTGAAATTTAGAGTGGTAATTAATACCTTAATACAAATAACATAGGATGCTATTATGAATTTGAGTTATACAAAATGCATAGGCTTTTGAATTATTTAAACCCAATTTTTTAATTATTAAATATTTTATATTTTACATTTACTACAACTTACCATTAATTTCTAATTTACTCTAAAATAATTACTATATTTTATCTTTTTAACGTAGTTTTATGACACACAAATCAATATGAAATTAATTTTTTTTTAAGAGATTACCTATCATTAATTTGAATTAATTTATTTTTATAAAAATCAAAACGATGATTAATTTGACTTTCCTTTTTGCGCCGAAATTAAAAATAGGGTAGTGGTTGTTGGCAGCAGCTTGTTAGTGACAATTATTACTGTCATCTTTTTTT